TCCATTGCTGGAGAGACCACCTTCTCAAAAATGTTGACTTTGGTCGCCGTTTTGGAGTCATATTTTCTCTCTAGAAGAAAAGGGCCTGATTACGTTGAAAGAAAATGAGGAGATAACAGTGTATAATACGCATTGTTGGAATAGTGCACTCTAAACAAAGATAGAAGAATTCGCGCTCTAAGGACAAGCATTACAGGAATTATGTGAAAGATGGAAAACGCGGGAATGAAGGGAGTCATAGAAATCAAGAAAGCACAGAAATAGCATGGCAGTACCCAAGACAAATTTATAACAACGAACCTTTCTATTTTCAAATTTTTGGCCTAATAAACTATGCTGCGTCCTGTATCGTATTCGCAAATATTTCCCTAGTTGCTGAGCGCGTTTGTATCCTTTTTCGGTCAATTGGCTGAATCCACGAGGCCAAACCTCTTCACCATAGGGATCTAACGGGTAAACATCCGAGGGAGCTCGATCACCATGCCTAAATTTACCTAATATTTTGGGGCCAATAGTTAACTATTGGGATTCTTACCTAAAAATCACTTGAACATGGATGATTTCCGTTATAACATGAAGCACTAGACCTAGGAGCACCACCACACGGAACATCGGAAGCGACGGGTACGCTACCTTTTTGTACTTTTTTGGTATGCTTATCTCTCGCTGATAACAACAGCAAGAGATTGTTTGTTCGTGCACCTCATGACAGAAAATATTCGTTGCGTCACAATTTTGTTATGAGGAAGTGGCGATTCTAATTAGTTTAGTCATCCATTTTACTTTCGTTGCTAATACATATTATAGTCATGAAGTCTTGATTTGATATAAAGTTGTTCGTTTAAGCCTCTCAGAAGCTGTCCAACTGTTTATGAAAACAAAACAATCTAAAACTTTGCTAGAACATCTTGATTGCTTTCAGCAACGACTCAAACATGTCTTTCTCTTCAAACTCTTTTCGGCATGCGAATTTAGTCGGGAAAGACTAAGAATGATGGCTTGAAGTACCTTTTGCAGATTGTTTCGTCACCTGGATGATGGGACCCTAATGCAATTCTCTATTCTGGGCAATTCTAGTCTGTTCAAAAATAGGATGAGTTGTTCTTATGCAAATGTTCATATTTAATATTGCTCAATCAAAAATGGGGTCATTATTGGATAAAAACAGACTATACTTACGTAAGTGGGCAAGGCAGCGCAAACTCTTGG